TACATTCTACAAACTAAAAGTAAATCGTAATGCTCAAATGTCCACTTTAAGTGACAAATGTTTGCTGCTATTTACATAGCTCCTCTGTTTCCATATCTCTTTCCCAGGAAGGTGGACAAGCTTCAGCACCAGTGATATGGTTCCCCAGGTTGTGTACAGCACATCTGTACAGATGTGGCCAGGGCAGCACGCATAGCCCTTAGGAAAAATATAACATTTCTGACCTAGCGTGAGCTGGAGGACAGACAGCTGGAGTCCATCAGCACAATCCTAGGACCCTGACCCCTCTAGGTGCCAAGCCCTGCCTGCAGTTGCTATGCACATATTTCCTAGATGGTGTATAAGTTTTGCAGTCGGCAAGGTGCTGTAGAGCCAGGGTGCACACCAAGGTCGTTTTCCAGTGTGCCTCCAAGGGTACATCACCCTGTTGGCATCTTCCTTTCCTCTGAGCCCAGGAACTTACAGGGAAGTGACAATACACTCAAAGCTTGGGAACATTTAGTGAGGCTAGCCCTGAGTTATAATGGAGGAGACATACAGAATATTTTTCATGTACCCACAGGGCACAAAAGAGCTTCAAGACACTATACAACTTTAACTGAAAAGTTCTTCCACATCAGATAAACAAAGAGGGCATGGTCCATATGTTAGAAACCCCAGCTGTTTTGGAAGCTCAACTGGCCCCCATTCCAATAAAACTTTATTTATACCAACACATAGCTGCCCTGCAGACTGTGGTTTGCCAATCTGATTTAAAAAAAAAAATATGCTAATATATTACTAGTTTTGGTTACTGAGGTTGTTGATGTGCTATTCCCTGCTACCACCATAGTCTCACATTTTGTCCTGGCTGGGGCGGTGGGGGGGGGGGACATTAGTGTGTGTGTGTATCCCTCAATTTCAGCCCTTTTAATACATGTTTACACATTGCTGCCAAAAATGCCAAGGAGGTTAAAACATGGTGTCTCTTAATAGGGCAATAAGGCTATTGCTTAGCCGTTCAATTCCTCCCCCCCAAAAAACTCTCAGGGTGGGGTGTTGTATACACTCACCCCAAAAGGACACTGAGTAGTACCACCGTTGGCCAGCAGAGGGCGTCATGGGCAGGTTTCAGGATTTTGACTTCAAACACAAATCCTCAAGAAGTGTGGGGCAGAGGCCTCCCCACTCCCTGCAAACCCCAGACAGATTCTAACACGGGTGGTCTGAGGACCAAGCTTCCAGGAACCCTGAGATAAAAATTTGCATCACTGTTTCTCAGTGAAGCATCCTTCTCTGTCCTCTGATAACTGTGTCTTGAGGGGGCTCTTTGCCCCAACCCAGGAGTCAGGACTCAACATTGAATCAGAAGCCCTTTCTCTCCAGGGTCTGGATCTGAATTCAGAGAAAAGCTTATAACTTAAGTGCTTTTGTAGGTTTCTTTAGGAGTGAGGACTGTGCAAAATTTTCATGTTCAACCTAGTTATTTTTCCTGGTTCACCTGTGGTTTAACATTTCCCTAAAACAAAGCCAAAGAGAACTATATTGGGATAGCTGAATGTTTATCAATATTTTACTCTATGTTAGTCGTTTAAGAACCTTGGAAGTCAATACAAATCTTGCAGATCAGAAAAAAATGGTTCAAAACAATAAGTCAAAAGAAGCGTTCTTCCTTAAAACTGTTAGACTGGTTTCTCCCAATTTTCTTTGAGTCCACGTTAAAATCCCAACTTTAAATCACTCCGTTAAGCAAAGTATTGGAATTAACCAGAAATAGCAAAGCTAGAGAAAGACACCAGAAAGCATTTATTTTTTTTTAAAAAAATCACGTTTTATTACTAGAAAAAAAATGATTTGAATGAAACTCACCACTGTTCCGGAAGCAATTTCTCCTCTTGTTTAAATAGGTGGCCGCCGCCCCCACCAAGGTCACCACCACCACAGACACGATAGGGGATACGATTTTTGCTACCGTGTTCCCTGAAAGAGTTGAAAGAAAACAAGGTCATCTGAGAAAAAACATACCCTACGGTAAATTATTTGTTTTAAATAACTTCTCTAGCATTCCCCGCCCACTCTCATGTCCAGTGGGAAGCAAACCAGCAAATCATGAAGAGGAATCCTTAGAAAATGATTTTGGTTTCACAAAATGCCAGGCTTATTAACCACGTCCTACCCAGTCTCATCTTTCACAACACATGAGGCTTTGCATAGAGGAGAAACTTGGTATTTTGCCTGTTTGTTGAATTGGATTGGTTTGTACCCTTTTATACATAAAACACTTTCTTATGCAAAAAAAAAAAAATTATATATATTTCTACTTTTTGACTGGGGCTGGGTTTGAAGCCACCACCTCCGGTATATGGGGCCAGCGCCCTACTCCTTTGAGTCACAGGCACCGCCCAAAAATTATGTCTATTTTCTTTTCTTTCTTTCTTTTTTTTTGAGACAGAGCCTCAAGCTGTCACCCTGGGTAGAGTGCCATGGCATCACAGCTCACAGCAACCTCCAACTCCTGGACTCAAGCGAGTCTCCTGCCTCCGCCTCCCAAGTAGCTGGGACTACAGGTGCCCGCCACAATGCCCAGCTATTTTTGGTTGCAGCCGTCGTTGTTTGGCGGGTCCGGGCTGGATTCGAACCTGCCACCTTAGGTATATGTGGCTGGTGCCTTAGCCACTTGAGCCACAGACACTGAGCCAATTATGTCTATTTTCAACAAATAAAAGTGCCTGATAGATCTGCTTTCAGTGATCTGCTGTAGCTTGAGATACAACGGCACACCTGACCTGATGTATCATTGAAGTTTCAAAGGCAACCTTACTATAAAGATTTGTTTCCTTGTGAAAAGAACCAAGGAAGGGGACTGACATGACAAAACTGAAAAAAAAAAAAAAGAAGTGAAATGATTGTTCCCACTTGAAATAACCACCCATGGCTGCCTTATGTCAGAAAGGGCTGATATGCCTGGGGTGGCATAGGTGGTGGATATGTGGCCTCACCATGAATGACACTGCCATGTTGGCTGGAAGAGCACTGTCAGACAGCAAGAATATATTTTATGTCTGACAATGCCACCTCACTCCACCTCCTGAGGGAGGTTGCCATCCATTCTTCCCCCCTGTGTCCACCCACTCTGCAATGTAACTTGGTACCATTTTCTATGAAGTGGTGGGGTCCATGTCATCATCCTCTGAATCTCAGAAGCTTTGGCCAAAACAATGTGGCGAAAGTGCAGCTTCACCTGTTCTAAGCCTGGTGGGCATCCTGATTTTCTTTCTTTGGTATCCAGTCTGGCTATTATGTGACCAAACCTGCCCTGGCCTCTTGAAGCAACATGGGAACCCACATGTACCTCAAATGAGCAGCTCTATCTGATGCCCCAGATACATGAGGAGACACAGCCAACATAGGCAATACAGCTGGCCACACCTGCAGCTGACCCCAGATGAGGACGGGAACTCAGAGACGATGAGAATGGATTACTGAGCCCAAAGTTGATGACTCAAATAATTGTCATCACAATAAATTGTTGTTGCTCCTGGCAGCTATGTTTTGATGACTTTTGTTACGCAGCATAGCTGACTGATACACACCTCTGTCCTCTTTCCCATCCTGTACAAATCTATACAAGTGCAATCAATTCTTACTACCAAATGGATGTCCACGCTGACCTCTTCTCTCTGCCTCCCCTGCCTGGAGTTTAATTGAGCTGGTCTGTCCCCGTGTTCATCTCCCTCCCAGATGATCTGCTCTTAAAGCTGGTCTCCCTGAGTCTTGGTGGGCCCTACACACAGAGCATACACCAGCAGCTCTTAATTAATGATGGGTGGCCGAGTCCATCACTTACCTTGTGGGTTGCCGTAAGTTGAATGTTCGTCTCCACCTGTAAGGGTAGGAGGAAACATTCGTGAGTTTATTCAGCAGAACTTGTCGAGGACCTTCTATTGCTAGGCAATATTGAGGACGCAACCGTGAGCGCTGCACACAGAAACGCTTATCTGCAAGGGATTTGCATTCTCATTGGGGAAGAAGGGACAGGCAGCCAGAGCAAGGAAGGAGGAGGGTGCAACATGTCTGCTGGGGCTTGGGGGACAGGAGAGTAAAGGGAAGAGGAGGACAGCTTAAATCTCAGGCTTAGGTAATATACACACATGCACACAGATAACCCTGCCCGTGCACACAGACAATTATGCAAAGCCCACGTGCACCTGTGCACACATCACACATACAACATGTACACACACCTGTGTGCACGCACATATTCACACATGCATGCACACATGTGTGTACACACACACAGTAACACTTGTCCTGTATTAGTTAGTTCCTTTCCAGAAACTAAGGCTGCACAGCATACAAAACATTCCCCGCCAGCGTTGGTGATGGATGAAGACGCAAATTAGGGAGCCAGGTAGCGCGTGAGTTCCCGGGAGCCAGCCGAAAGCATCAGCCTCCCTCTGCACAGCACTCAGACAGCCCGCTGGTGCTCTGAGGAAGGGGGCCTTCCTCACACAGCCTGGGAGACATAAATCCTTTACCATAAGTTTGTCTGTAAGGAGGGTTGGGTCGAGAGCCGCCCCCTCTTCCTGCAGAACAGAAAAGAGGCGATGAACAAACTTTTGAAACCTCGCTGGGGAAGTCTGTCTAATCTCACACAGGAGGGCAGCTCCGTACAGCTGAAGGAAGACGCTCTTTCTGGCCGCAGAGGTTCCAAATGGGCTTCCTCATGCCAGGGAGGGGACACAGGTGTCATCTGCCCCGACAGACTGTTCTCCTGCCTCCTGAGGACCGTGTACAGCTGGGAGGCTGGCTTACATGTACAAACACATTTTCTTTAAAACCAGAAAGAAAACCCCAGCCAGTGCTGGTAGAAAAACAGAATTATACAGACACACAAGCAATAAAGGGGTGTTTCCAGCTTATAAGACCCAAGAGGGATATCTCTATGCTTCCTTTCTGGGTCTTTTTTATTTTCTTGAGACAGAGTCTCACTCTGTTGCCCTCAATAGAGTGCTGTGGCATCACAGCTCACAGCAACCTCAAACGCTTGGGCTTAAGTGATTCTCTTGCCTTAGCCTTCCAAGTAGCTGGGACTACAGGTGCCCACCACAATGCTGGCTAGTTTTTTGTTGCAGTTGTCATAGTTGTTTTAGCTGGCCTGGGCCAGGGTTGAACCCTCCAGCCTCAGTATATGTGGCTGGTACCCTACGTACTGACCTACATGTGCTACCCCTTTCTGGTTTCTTAAAAGCTTTTTTTTTTGCAGTTTTTGTCTGGGGCTGGGTTTGAACCCACCACCTCTGGTATACAGGGCTGGCGCCCTACTCCTTTGAGCCACAGGTGCCGCCCAAGAGTAATTTTTACAGACTGATTTGTAAACGCAAAAAACAAACGAGAGGTTAAAAAAAAAGGTGGGCAAAGATTTATGTGGGTATTATTTAAAAATGAAGGAATCATTTCATGAAATAACTCTCAAGTGCACTCAGTGGGGGTTATGGGCTGAACTGTGCCCTCCCCAAAATTCCTAAGTTGAAGGCCTGACCCCCAGCACCTCAGACTGTAGCTGTATTTGGAGACGGGTCTTTGCGGAGGTGATTAAAGTAAAATGAGTTCACCGGGGTGGGCCCTGACCCACCAGGACAGGTGTCCTTTGGGGAAGATAAGGACAGAGACACAGAGGGATGACCCCGTGAGGACACAGAGAGAAGACAGTGTCTGCACACCAAGGAGAGAGGAGAAACCACTTTCAAGAGACTTGCAGCCCAGCCTGCCCTGCCCAGCTGGATGAGCCATCCCCAGTGGACGCCCTTAATGGAACAAGAACGTGCCAAACGTGTTTGGCCATGCTCAGGGAGGAGCTGGGTGACTCAGAGCACCTCGCCTTGCTTTGGTCTGCCCAGCACCCCAGGGCTGATCTGAAGACTCACTCGGCCTCGCCCAGCACAGGGCAGCGGACAGGGGCCCCACTAGGAGCAGAATGGAAGGCCAACTGGAAGAAATGCCCCACCCTAAACTGGGCTGCAGTTCCTGAGACCCACATGAGTTCTGCACGCACACCATTTACACTTGTTTCTGAGCTCACCAACAAACACAGCTGTGTTGGTGACCTTTGGTCCATCCGAGGGAGCCTGACAAAGCCCCCTGGCCCTGCTTCTGAAAACAGCAGGGCAAATATAGTTTTCTGAGAAAACAGGCGACTTATCTGGGATTCCAAGAACACCACCAAGTGAGTCATTTCCTTGTAAAAAATATAGCAAAGAAAAAAAAAAAAAAACATGCTCCTGGAAGGCTCCTCACCAAGGAAGACTTTTCAGAGAATCCTGAATGGGGCAAAAATCCCCTCATTGCCAGGCTGTGGGGATGGCAGGACCTCTCACAATAAGGCACTCCACGTGGATTTCTGTAAAATAATATCCGATTTGCTCTCTGCCTCAATTTTTCAGCCAGTAGATGGTGGAAACAAAGCACAGAGCCTTGAGTTTAAGCGGATGGAGGGTTCTTGACTGCAGGTAACTGCTGACTTCCTCCTTGAAGCTTGTCTGCTTTGCAGGGAAGGCGTTCTGGGCAAGTGGGCAGCTGTGCTGTTATTTTGTAAAACCAAGCTCATAATGACTCCTGCATCAGAGGTGCCAAAACTAATGGGACCACAGGCAAGAAAACAAATTCTTGCTCTGGGCAAATGCAGAAGACCCTTGGTAGCTGCCCACCTCCCCGCACTGACCACCTCCTTATGTTGACCTAATTTTCATAGATGGGACACGCACCACACGTACCTATCAGCACAGCAGGTCTAGTTCCTTATGGTGACCCTCTGTGTATTGATCAGCTTGTTACAGTCCCTTGGGTGGTCAACTTACAGAGGTCCTATTGTATTCATTTTAACCGAAAAGAGAGTTACTCAACTTACTGAAGGTGGTCAAAAGTCTTAACGAAAGGCAGATGTTACAACAAAGATAAGGGTTTAAAATTACACCATAGTGTGTGTTCGGCTGTTTTTTTCTTTGTTTTGTTTTGTTTTTTTCTCTCACCAATGACAACTGTGCTGTCAAGGAAAGGGAATTTCAGAATGGGAGGATATCTGAGGGTTTCAAGGTCCCCTGGTTCTCTTTACAAAATATCTCAACCAAGTGAAGCATTTGTTCATGGGTCCCGTGGAACGGTGCTTTGTTTCTGGGCATGATTGCCATGGTAAGCTGTGTTCCATTTGAAGTAAAGGAACTGCTCTCCCTGAGAAATTTCCAATGTGTTGGGGGGTCTCCCACTAATTAGTCTTGTGGTTTTTTACTCTGATTTTTTCTACCTAAACAGAGAGGAGTGTGTGTGTGTGTGTGTGTTTTTGTTTGGGCATGTGTGTGTGCAGGTAGCTAGACCTGACCTACCAGGGAATAGAAATACGGCAACCCACCTCAGACAGGTTCTCAGCAGAACAGATATGAGCAAAGAAAGCCCTGGTCAGGGGATACCACAGGTACCAGGCATGAACCAGAATGTAAGGCAGCCCCAGAAATGCCACCCTCCCACCTTGCCACCCACCACTGCATGCCCCAATTTGGGCATACCATACGTGCTGCCGGAGCTGTCATAATTGGGATAGCCTCCGCCACCTCCGCCACCTCCTCCTGTAAGACAGAGAAGCAGACTTGAGGGGTGTCCAAAGTTGTCTGTCTCATTGAGAAAGGCCACAAGCTATACAAAGGAGGGCCACAGAGAGCAGCTCCAGGACTTCACCAAGGTAGCCCCACCTAATCTCCATCTCCTCTGTGGGGAAAACTCACTCCAAGACTGAGCTGCAGCTATGAAAGGCACTTTGCCCTTATGGGACAGATATCTTCCGCAACAGCTGCAAATTAATATAGATTCACTCTCCAGCTGCCGTCAGCCACCCCCGTGCAGAATTCCTTGTGTCAGAAGGACGCTCCACACAGAATCCCAATTGTGAATGTTGTCTCTCTGTTTCTCCCTATTAAGAACTAGCTATTTTCTTAATGATCATTTTTTTTAAGGCAGAGTCTTACTAGGTCACCCTCAGTAGAGTGCCATGGCGTCACAGCTTACAGTAATCTCAAACTCTTGGGCTTAAGCAATTCTCTCGCCTCAGCCTCCCAAGTAGCTAGGACTAATGGCACCTGCCACAACACCTGGCCATTTCTTGTTGCAGTTGTCATTGTTATTTAGGAGGCCCAGGCTGGGTTTGAACCAGGCACCCTTGGTGTATGTGGCTGGCGACATAACCACCGTGCTACGGGAGCTGAGCCATATCTCAACAGTTTTAACATTACTTTTCTTGACCACCAGTTACATAAATCTTAAAGGATGCTGCCTCTCGGGCAGAACCCCAGCACATAAACACATAGAATGTATATACATAAATGAAGACATAATACTTATATAAAGTTTTGTATCTACATATAAGAAGGTATCTATATACATATATAAAGACATTTATATACATATAGACATTTATGTATGTATGTATATGTATTTAGATACATATAGACATTTATGTACATATAAACATATGTACAAATGTATATTTAAAGGTATATACATATATAACTATATACATACATATTTAAAGTAATATACTTATATAAAGCCATATAGGTAGATACATAAAAAAAAAGATAGAAATAAAGATATATACATAAGCATATAGAAAGGTGTATATAGGGCGGTGCCTGTGGCTCAAAGAAGTAGGGTGCTGGCCCCATATGCCGGAGGTGGTGGGTTCAAACCCAGCCCCGGCCAAAAACTGCAAAAAAAAAGGTGTATATATTTACATATGCACATAAAGTATACGTAAATCCATTCATTTATGTATATATAAACCTATACTCATATAAAGGTATATATATATATATAAAGGTATATATAAACTTTTACATGTGCATATATACATATGGAAAGGTAGGAATATACATATGAAGATAAATTCCTACACATAAACTTGTATATACACATATGTAAAGGTATGTACGTATGTGTATATAAAAGGGTGTATGTGTATATATATACACATGTATAAAAATATGTATATGGAAAGGTAGGAATATACATATGGAAAGGTAGGAATATATATATGAAGATAAATTCCTACACATAAACTTGTATATACACATATGTAAAGGTATGTACGTATGTGTATATAAAAGGGTGTATGTGTATATATATCCACATGTATAAAAATGTATAGACATACATGTATTACAAAGTGCATACACACTCAGAGATACACAGCTATGCATAAAAGCTTATATACACACATATGCAGA